TAGGACCGTTTTTCACACTTACGACCATTGCAAGCCCCCCCCCCCCTTGGCCCGGGGACCAAAATTTGGACGCTTGGCAACTGGCATGTACTTATGACTGTCGCAGCGTCCTGGGGGGGGGGGCACACCGTCCCCTTTTGCAACCTTCCGACCAGCGAAGTCAACGGGGAAGCCAGATTCACTTAACGACCACATGGCTAACTTATCAACTGAAGTGATTCACTCAACAACCGTGGGGGAGGAAGGTCGTAAAATGGGGCGCGTCACTCACTTGACCGCTGTCTTGCTTAGCGACAGAAGGTCCCCTCCAGCCCTGAGTGATCCCCGGAAGCTGCTTCTACTGCCAGCTTTGTAGTCCTCCCTTCCTCTCTTTCCTCTCTTTCTCCCTCTCCTCTCTCTCCCTTCTCCTCCTCCTCTCTCTTTCTCCCTCCTCCCTCCCTCTCTCCTCCCTCTCTCTCTCCTCTCCCTCTCTCTCTTTCTCCCTCCTCCCTCTCTCCTCTCCTTTCTCCCTCTCCTCTCTCTCCCCTCTCCTCTCTCTTTCTCCCTCTCCTCTCTCTCCCTTTCCTCTATCTCTCCTCTCCCCCTCCTCTCTTTCTCCCTCCTCCCTCCCTCTCTCCTCTCCCTCTCTCCCTTTCCTCTCTTCTCTCTCTCTTTCTCCCTCCTCCCTCTCTCTCTCTCTCCTCCCTCTCTCTCTCTCCTCTCCCGTCTCTCTCTCTCCGTTTTTGGCCTTGCAGGGCCTCAGGGAAGCCTTCTGGGAGCAAAAACGGACCCCCACTCAATGTTTCTGGAGAACATGTAATAAAAAAAAATGCTTAAAAAGTAAAAGGAAAAAAAAGTCCGATGATCAGAACTTCCTCAGAACTTTTTAAAAAACCTTTTTTTTTTAGTGTTTTGGCGAACCGGCCTGGACCGGCAGCCTCTCAGCCCTGCTCCAGGGGGGTTCTGGGGCGCCCTCGGCAGGGCAAGGGCCAGGCACCCACCCAGCTTCTCGGCGATCCTCTTGCGGCTGAGCTCCATGGCGTCCTCCCGCAGCTCCAAGGCGTGCTGCGCGATCTCGTCGCTGGCCACGTTGGAGGTCATGATGAAGATGGCGTCCTTGCAGTCGATGGTCTTCCCCTTCCCGTCCGTCAGCCGGCCCTTCGGGAGGGAAAGGGGGCGTCAGGCCGAAGGGAAGCCCCCACTCCACGGGTTGTTGGGTAGAAAAGAAAGCAAACCCACCCCAACACGGATGAGGTTCCCCAGTTGGGTCACGAGACGTCTGCAAGGAGGCCAGCCAGCTCAGGGAGCACCAGAGACCCCCACAGGCCTCCTCTCTGCAAACCTCCCTTCCTTCTAGCACTGATGAGGTTCCCCAGTTGGGCCACGAGACGTCTGCAAGGAGGCCAGCCAGCTCAGGGAGCACCAGGGGTGGGGGTGGATTTGGGGCCAACTGGCTCAACGTTTTTATGACGGCCGCAGTATCCTGGGGTTGTGTGATCCACCTGGGCAACTTTCTGACCATCGAAGTAAAAAAGGGCAAGCCGGATTCACTTAACGACCAAGTTAATAATTTAATGCAGTGTTTCTCAAGCTTGGCGACTTTTAAGTCCTGTGGACTTCAACTCCCAGAATCCCCCCAGCCAGCTGTGCTGGCTGGGGGGGTTCTGGGAGTTGAAGTCCACAGGACTTAAAAGTCGCCAAGCTTGAGAAACACTGATTTAATGACTTCGGTGGTTCACTTAACAGCTGCGGCCAGAAATGTCATAAAACGGGGCAAAACTCATTTAACAAATTTCTCACTCCGTTTTGGTGAAATGAGCAAAAAACTCATTTGGCCACAGAAATCTGCGGCTCCGTTGTGGCCCTGAACGAAGGACTTCGGCTCAGGGTACATGAATCCACCCCCTTGGAAGGAACCGCCTGGGCTTTGGCCTTGGAGCTGGGGGTCCAAAGACCCCCTCCCCACACCCAGAAGGGAGATGGGGCAGGGCAGGAGGGCCGCTGGTCCCTGTGGGCATGGATATCCAGTTCTCCCCCTCTGAGAAGACGAAGCTAAGGATCTTTTAAA